AATGGTGCATCATACATTATAGTGGAACCTATCAGCAAGAAAGTGTTTACTTGTTGCCATTAATTATTTATGAAGACCACTAGTTTAATAATATTGATTTTGATCATTAGGACTGTTGCATTTAAGTCATTCTTAGGTGAAAGTGAAGTATTTATATCTGTTAGTGCTATTTCTAAATAGTACGAAGTTTTATTGGGTAAAAATTCAATAACTAAATACTTGGATTTAAAGCACATAATATCATACCATGTAATGAAGTGGGCCATTATAAATGGTATCAAAGCAGAGCCCAACCAAAAGTGTGGCCCACGAGGACCTTAAGTCCCTAAGGGGGCAATTGTGGTATCCCTGTAGGATTCATATCAAATTGATAGCTCCTTTGGTTAAAAAGGAAAAAACATACATTTTTTGTCCTTCTTCTTTTGTCCTAATGGTTTGGGGTCTTTAACTCTCAAATTCCTTATTAAAGATTTCAAGCCCGATAGAGAAGAGGAGAAAAGAAAAAATCAAATATTGTCAAGTTCTCGATAAAGAATTGGTGACGAATAGAGTAGAAAAGAAAAGAAATAAGAGGTATTATTTTTAAGGGTCTTATAAATTTTCAAACAATAGCTAATGGATGTTAAGGCCAAATAGATATCAATATTTTTATCATCAATACACACAAATCTTCTAAAAAAAGAACCACATCCAACTTGTTTTTAGTTCTAATTTTCACTTGGGGTCTTGTTCTATGGGAAAATTGTTGTGTGGGGTTAAATTTAATTAATCTCTTAGGCTTCGTTTCATCGGACTAGACATGTAAAATAACTTGTCCAAAATCGATAGATAAATTATTTTTATTAAATTTTATTAATTTATTTTTTCAAAAATATTTTACAGCATCCAAACACTAAAAAATAAAAAAATATTTTCTAAAAATTATTTTATATCCAAACAAACGTAGCCTTTATGTCAAGTTGCCAACCACCTCTGAATTACCAACCCATATTATATATATATATATACCTAGGTAACAGAAGGATAGGATGTAATGTTGGGCGCAATTGCACTTTGGGCCTGAATTGATAATTTCTAACAAATTGATCACAAGTAATGATGGGAAACGCCAGTAATGACTAGGTTTCACTATTTTGGCTTGGAACTAAGTCCTGTAATTTTTTTTTTTTTTTTTTTTTAATCCCCAAAAATTATCACCACGCCTGTGTTTTTTTTTTTTCATAATTGAACTATCAACACACCTGTTTATGATTGCAATTTAATTTTTGTATTACTAATATATGAAAATACATAAGTCATGAGTTCGAAATAGAAAATAAAAAATCTATCCACATGTGAAGTTAAAATTATGTACCTTCTTCACACCCGCAACAACCAAAGCCTCCCTTGACCTTGAGCTTGTCCTTTATATTGTGTATACATAATATATTTCTTTTTTTACACGGTATATTTGATGATGCCAATTTTGTCCAATATATAACAGTCAATTAATAGTCAACCTTTTAGGAATGTTAAATGGTGTCCAAAAAAGACTTGGTCACCAAGCCAACTTTATTCATGTTTATGTCATGATTCATGCTAAATTGATATTAAAAGGACCACTTTTCTTGTGACCCCACTTCATATTTTTCCCAAGAAAGTCTTCAATCTTATTTCTAAGCCGCCATGAAATGAAACAGCCAAGAACATGCAGTGACAAAACTTGCTTGCTCTCCAAGCCTATTACTTGTGTATAAATAGCTTGTTTAAGGTCTCCCGAAGCCTTATCATAACAAAATCCAGTTTGTCAAAAGACAATCCATTCCTCACACGCAAGTTCACCATACCGGCTTGTTTTTCCGGCCATGTCTTTAGCCGGAGCTGATCTTGCTGAAGTTTACGTTATGCGAAAAATCCACAAGGAGAAAATGAAGATAACATCAAAGAAGGCGGCCAAAAGGGAGGTAATTGAAGATCATGAAGGTGAAAATTCACAAGGTTGCTTCTTTTATATCTTCAAGAAGATACATCCGACCGACATGCCATCGCCAAAATGCGACAGAGGAGAAGCTGTGAGATTAGACCATTTATAAGGTTCAGATGAATTAAATTTGTAATCACTGCTGGTCTTGTTCATTTAAAGGATTGGAGTCCACTATTCAATCACAAAAGGTAATCACTGAAATGGAGAGTTTTTACGTAATCTGTAACTTTTTGAGGAACATAATAGTGTCAGATAAGCCCTGCAGTGCATGCCAAAATCATTAGACAATCGTAAAAGTTCAGCCTTGTCCATTTTACCAGTACACCATATTACTTTCCTATGAAAATTAATCGAAAAATGTTGGCAAAATAGTTCTTTGAAGGCATCATACATCACGCATCTTTATAGCAACAGCTTCCACCTATGTACGTAATGCTGCTATTTTCTTTTATTACTTTTTCTCCGCCATAGAAAAGAGAGACTTATCTTTCCATATCTATTCAAGGTTCTCTGCCATCAACAGACTCAATCACCAGATTATTTACGAATATAGATTTAATGCAAACAAAGCTAAAACAAGAATCTGTTAGGGATATTATTTTCCAGAATGCAAAACACGCTTATTCTCAGTGAATGCAAAAAATGTTGTGAGATAATAGATAATATTAAAGAACAACTAATACTCGGAAATAATTATAGAGTAAATAAAAATTGGATCAGAAGGAAACAAACATAGTTGTTCGATCTCTCAATCCAGTGGTAGTATGAAGAATTCATAATTCTTGTCATGGGAGACTCTCTTGATGGTCTCCCTCTTGTTATAACAACTCATTTGTCATGTCTGATACAATAGTTCACAAATAAAGTCCAAGGTTACATTTAGTATTTTTTAAGGATGAAAGTATTAAGTAACATGGGAAACAATAATAAGAGAAAGAACAATTATCATGGGATTTAGAATATCTATCCAAAATCATGGGTTAACAATGGCTTATATGATGAGAGTAAACAATATATGGCAGAATAAAGATAACTACTATAGAGAAAGGGTTTCACTACAATTGAACTATGGTCTCGATCCGAATGACTAATGGTTCAGGACAATTTAACAATTTGAGAAAGAACGAATCGTTGAGGAAAAATACTTTAATACCCCTGCATATCATCATTAATTCTATGGACAAAAAGCCAGGTCAATAACAATTAATAATTCTGACACAAGTTGGGAGAATCTTTCAACTAAATTAACTATATATATATATATACATATACACAGACAGAGACACACACACAGAGTATTATGACTGTATATGTGAGCATCACATCATGTTTCTTGTTAAGGGCATTTTAGAAAGACCATTGTCCAAAGACATTTTTAGTTCAGGAGGAGGATTGCAGAATAAAGATCACTGCTATAGAGAAAGGCAGGAGGAGGAGTCTTCTCTTGGGGTCTTTGCTCATCCACTCACCTTTCAGAAGTGAAAAACTTGCTTTAAAACTCTACTTCTCCACTTCCTCACACTTTCTTCCAAGTTATGACAATAATTTTAGAAACAGGACACCCACATATGAAGATATCTTTATATTGTGCAGTATTGTATTCAACTGCTTGAATCAACTGTGTTTGTCATTCCTAAAAAACTGCTTGAATAAACTTTTCTTCTTTGTGTCACTGTCCCAGTTAGTTTGTCTGTTTAAGTGTTTCTCTTAAGAGTCAGGACCAGACACGGCAACAGCACAATGATGTACCACACTGTCTAATCACTCACGCGTGGAGTGCCCATACATGTCAGCGGTCACAGCTGTCCATGGTGTACTGTACTGTGTGGTACACCATGGAGGATCCGGACTCTTCAGTAATACTTTCTAATCACCTTCCAAAGTAAAACGTGGAGAATTCATTATAGGAGCATGTGAGTATGAGTTTTTGTTAGAATAATTAATAAATAGACTAATAATTTGGGAACTGGTTAGATTGACTTTTGGTGTGGTCAATGGACTGGTTGAAACCACTGCATACACAAGTATTTAAGGACACAAATTAAATGAAAAATGCATGTTCCTTTATCATCATCATCAGAAGGAAAAAAAAAAAAAAAAAAAAAAAAAAAAAAATACATTTCTATAGAATTTAGAATGTTATAGGAGTAAATTATGCACTTTACTAATGTATATTTCATCGACAGTGTGACCTACTAGAATAAATCTTGACGATATAAGCTCTGCCAAATTATAAGAACTAAAAAATGGTCATCCTAATTTGTAAGGCGACCCAGGAGAGGCAACCCACTACCTAAATAGGCTTTTTTTCACCTCGATTCCTGGTCGAATGAAATAATAGCTAAAATTTTGCACATTTTGTTTGTCAAATTAGGTTCAACTTGCAATTCCTTTTATTACCACCACCACCACCACATCTATAATTATAATAATAATAAAAAACAAAAACAAAAAAATAAACTTGAAATTCAATTTCAACCAATTTCTCACTTCAAATATTCCACTTAAAAAAGGGTTTTGTCACATTAGCTGTGGGAGGAGGTTCTCTAGTCTCCCTTTTGATGGATTTAACCTACTGCTGAATTCACTTGATCCAATTTTCCGTATACTGCTAGCATTGGAAGAAGCACCTTACTTCCCCAAACCTTGGTTATATTGGTAGATCCGTACAGACATACATGACTACTGTACATGATAAACAAAACTTATGATAGCATGCAATTCTGCACAATGAGAAAATTATATGTGAAGAATAAGATCACAGTCATAATCATTGCCTCGCACAAAATGAGAAAGCTTGAGCAAGATATATTACCTATCAAGATTATTCAGCATGATGACTCAATTGAAAATATAAAAAAAAAAAGATAAAGAAATGTTACACATTTGAAATTAGACAGCCAGCTGGAAAATAAATCCATGCTTTTCTCAGTAGTACACCATATGTATAGAAGAAAAGAGTATCTACTTACCTGCCATGCTTTTCTCAGCCTGCCCCTAGGTATTAAATCATGAAGTCACAAAGGATGTTATGATCTTAAGCACATATTTCTGCTATCAACGAGGCCTTCTTAATCACAAATAATTTGCCAACTTCATCTGAATAAGGGAGTACATATTTCTCAAAGAACTTCTTATCAGTCATCTTGAATGCAGTTGCCAAACTTGACTTTTTAAGAAGCAAATTCCTGCTTTCCAAAACCTCCAGAACTCTTAACCGTGGCTTAAACCTATTCACAACACTGTAAGTAAGTAATTCTGGGTTATTAACAACAAATGAGATATCACATTTGCCTGAGCTAAGCAAAAGCTGTGTTAACTCCTTAATTTTCCTCTCTGACACAGCAAAAGCATGAGGATATCTCCTAAAACTTGACAAAATGTCATCTTCCGAAAACCCCAAACTTTTAAAGAGCTCCAATTTCGACTCCCAATTATCTTTAGTCATCGAACAAAAAGCCCGAATCGCAAGAAGAAACATTTTAGACTTCCTGTCAATGCCCATCTCATCAACCCTCTTGACATTTTCTCTAATTCTCGTTGTTTTATGCAAGAAATCTCTTGGGAAAATATAGAGACACTGAGTTATTTGTGACGAACTAATACCACAACTCTTCAAAAGTTCAATATTGGGTATCATAGTTTTCGCCAAATCATACCTAAGAAGCCACGCATGTTTCTTTAAAATCCCAGACACATCCATATTTGAACCGACAACACTCTTCAATGCTAAAATCGATTGGCCAAACCGTTTATTAAAACTACAAGTTAGAATCATTGGTTGAGACGAAACCATTTCCACAACATTGCTAGAAGAAAAACCCAAGTCTCGAAAAACCTTGAATTTGGGTTTGATGGACCACTCAAGATTTGCAGAGAGAACTTTAGGCACGCGTTTGATGATACGCTCGAGATAGGTATCAGAAATACCACTTTCCTGGAGAAATGAGAGAATCGAATCGGTCTCTTCAGGCCTTTTCAGATACTTTACGACGGAAGAGACTTTCGAAGCAGTTGCAGGAGAAAAATTGTGTCTATCAATCAAGTAATCGGCCGCCGCAATTGGGGTTTCTGGAGAGGAAGAGATGAAGAGGAGAGAGAGAAGAGAGATTGGGGTTTTGTTGAGATGTGAAGTGTTCTTGAGAGAGAGTGCGACGAGACTTTTGCAAATATATATAGTCATTTCCTTGAAGATACATACACATATAATATGCTATCAATCAAATTGAAGAGTATATAGATGACTACTTGCCTGTAAGGTGTGGAGCTTCATAGATTTGCAGTGCTTCGATTTTCTCTCTATCATTCTGGATATCTCTCTCCCTAGTTATCTGAGAGTGTTTGAATAGTTAACAGTGTGCCTAAACCTAGTTCCAGCTCTGTATCATGTGTCAGGTTCTTCAAAGTGTTCGATTGAGTGAAAGTCGTGGCCCAAGAATTAGGTGGGCCGGTGCACAACCTGGCTCAACTCTCAAGCTCTATAACGGCCCTAAACGTAGTTCGAGGTCTGCATCAAATCACAAGTTTAATAGGAAGAGCCGATGCGCAACTGGCCCAAGACCGTCCGTGTGAAATAAGCTGGGAGACGAGTGTATCAGTACTACACGCACAGTAATAACCAGACATATACATTTTTTATCAGCTATGTTGTTATCAAAAAAATTAAAAACAATAATCATATAATCCAACTTATTTTTAGTTGTAATTTTTACTTGGTTTATTTGTCTCTTATCGAATTCAGATGAAAAAATGATTAGGTATAAATGAGTAGGTATGTACCACTACCTAACAATTTGAATTTTTGAATAAATGGGTAAGTGTCCGCCCGTTGGTTTCAGAGTTAGACCCAATTCTTGATCCGATATCACGCCAAACACCGGGCTCGGAAGGCGTTCGGATGAGCCACCCCGAGTAGGCAGGGTGGCCCAAGCCGCAACGAGGGAGTTGCGAGCTTGAATAGGGGAGAATGTAACAATGGTCATTTGTTCCACATCGGATCCGAATGAAAAAAGTGATTGAGTATAAATTAGTGGTTATGCAACACTACTTAACAATTTGAATTTTTTAAATTTGAACTTTTGAGTAAATAAACAAACGTCAATCCATTATAATAGTCTTGTTCTATAGAAATTTTTTTAAGTAGGGTTGAATTTAATTAATCTCTTAATGACAACATGCCAACCATCTCATAATTACCAATCCCATATTGCATATATATATATATATACCTAACAAAAGAATAGGATGTAATATTTTCTCGCACTTGCACCCAATTGATAACTTCCATTGTGTAGTACCCCTCTTTGGACCGTGCAACAACTAGTCCCTCGTCCAATGTGTGTGTGCGCGCGCGCGCGTGTATTTTTGGGTAAGTCGATAAATGGACAAGTAACCGCCCGTTATAGTTAGTATCAGAGTCAGACTTAATTATTGATCCGATACCACGCCAAGCACCCGACTCGAAAGGCATCCGAGTGAGCCAACCTGAGTAGGCAGGGTGGCCTGAGCTACAACGAGGGAGTTGCAAGTTTGGGTAGGAGAGAGTGTAACAATGGTTATTTGTCCCACATCAGATCCGAATGAGAAAGTGATTGAGTATAAATTAGTGTATATGTAGTACTACCTCCAAAGTTTAAATTTTTAAAATTTAAATTTTTGAGCAAGTGGACAAGCGTTGACCCATTATAACTTACACTTGCACTCAATTCATAACTTCCATTCTGCAACAACTAGTCCCTCTTTCTTTATATGATGTATTTAATCAGGCCAATTTTGTCCAATATATTAAAGTCAATTAATAGACAACCCTTTGGGAAGGTGCAATGGTATCTGCATAATATTACGTAGTATAAGGGTATGGTTGATCTACAAGAGCATTAGGCCAAAAATTTATTGGTCACCAAGCACAACTTTATGCATTTATTTATTATTGTTATTATTATTTATTTATTTATTTTTTTTTGACAAAAAATTTACACACATCACTTACATACCCACTTTATTCATTTTTAAAGACTAAAATTTTCACCGTCCTCTTTAAGAAATAGAAGACATATGGCTTAGCCACAAGTGCCCTTGGTTTATGCACGTTGAAGGCATGATTCATGCTATGAGTATTAAAAGGACTAACTTAATTTCATGTGACCCCACTTCATGTGTTTTCAACAGAGTATTCAGTCTTATTTATAAGCCGCCATGAAACGAAACAGCCAAGAACATGCAGTGACAAAACTTGCTTGCTCTCCAAGCTTGTACTTGTGTATAAATAGCTTCTTTAAGCCCTTCCAAACCTTATCATCACAAAATTCAATTGTCAAAAGACAACACATTTCTCACACACAATTTTCCCATTCCGGTTTTATTTTCCCGGCCATGTCGTTCGCCGGAGTTGATCTTGCTGAAGTTTACGTGATGCGAAAAATCCACGAAGAGAAAATGAAGAGAACATCAAAGAAGAAGGCCAAAAGGGATGTAATTGCAGACCATGAAAGTGTAAATCCACAAGGTTGCTTCTTTTATATCTTCAAGAAGATACATCCGACCGACGTGCCATCATCGCCAAGCTGTGACAGAGGAGAAGCAGTGAGATTAGACCATTTATAAGGTTTAGATCGTGAAATCATACGGTTTGGCAGCTTCATTTAATCAGAACTGTTGGTTTGTTATGAATATGGCAAGCCCCGACTATTTTAAGTGTTTTGTAAGTCTGGTAATACATATAGTTTGTAATGAAACTGTGTGTAATATATATAATGTTTTTCAAATTTCCTAGTCATTTGCATGTATGTTTGTGTTTGGATTCACTTTCGCGTGGAGAATATAGGAAAGCTGTTGAACTTGCTCCCATTAATCTCCCAGAACAGAAAAAATATGAAGATTAGTGGTGGTTTAACAGTTGTTAACAAATTGATGACTTGTATCAACCCAAGTGGAAAAAATGTCAAAAAGGCTAAACCTAAAACAACAAAACAGAAACAGAAGCACTATAAAAAAGACAGTGACATTTGTGATATTAAGTGACCTAATTTTTTTTTTTGGGTAAGTCTATATATAGATATAAAAAAGAGAAAATACAACAGAGGGCAAAGCCCAACAAGCCCGAAGGCAAAACAAGGCCCAAACAAACACAAATTGAATTGGCAATGAGGTCGGGACTGACTGACTCAGCAAGAGGACCTAAAGGTAACCAAAAATATGCCATAATGATACATTTTACCCATCACCTACGTGATGTTTGATAAAATGCCTAGCTAGTTGCCTTAATTTCAGAAGCATTCTCTAATTACAAGAACTAAGCTGACTAGCCTTCAAACTCCAAAAAAGCTCTTGTCCTTTTATGAGGTTTGAATGTGCCCAATCAACCCAAAGAGACTAACCCTCATCTTTAAATAGGTTCCAAATGTATGCTAGAAAATTACTTTTCTGTTCATTCACCTCACTTTCTTCTCATTTTCTACTTCTTTTTTCTTTTCTTTTCTTGCTTATTTTCTTGTAACCAAACATAGCCTAAAGTTAAATTTGCTCTGTTTTGATATTTGATTGAATGAAAGAATAGCTAAAATTTTGCACATTATCTATTAAAACATAAAACTTTCTCATCTACTATATTAACAACACACGGTAACTCATCTGCTATAATAACACTGCCTTAGAATCACCTGAATGAGAGATCCGCTACCTCATTGGTAATACTACCTTAGCACTAGAATCAACCAAATCTCATCAGCTATGAGACATCTCTACAGAGTTCGAGTCTGGAGGATAACACGATCAAAGGTGGCTTGAATGATAAGTAAACAGAGCTTTCTACTGCTGCCTGGGATAAACAGAGCTGTCTCATGACTGAGGATTACGATATAATGCAGAATCATAGATGCCCCACAAGCTACAAATGCCCTGGGATAAATCTACCTTACACTCTTCGGCTGACTAGATATTGGGCTGAGAAGTAGAGGAAACCAAACAAGAGAGAACATTTTTTTAACCACGCTAAGAAAATCAAACGGCATACAATTCAGAACAGCAACTAGATATGATATTTAACACCTCACCAGCATCAACTCCTCTTTTTTGGTAGGTAAGATACACACACAGACTGTTGCTCCAACCCGAACTGACATCAACAGATCAACTCAGCTAGTTCATGAGAGTGACCTTAAAAGAGAAGTTCATTCTCAGAAGAAACATGAGCTGCGGTGCTTAATCTATTGTATCAATTCAGCCCTGAACTCTTCATCTAATAACCTCCTCTAACAAGTTTCTAAAACCTTCTATACTGCAGTGCTTAATCTCTCGTCAATCCGGTCTCAAGGTGGCAACTGAGTTCCACAAACAAAACCAGAATCAACTCAGAAGTTCCTAGAGATGGGAAATTTGTAGGAAAGGAAATGAAAAAAGAAGCCACATCAGATATGCTTAAGCAGGACAATTAAGAAGTACTGAGTCAAAATTTTCCTCTCTGACAGAACAAATAACTGAGGCTGTCTCCTAAAAACTGACAAAATGTCATCTTCCAAAAACCCCAAACTCTTAAAAAGCTCCAATTTCAACTCCCAATTATCTTTACTTATCGAACTAATAGCCCGAATCGCAATAAGAAACATTTTAGACTTCCTGTCAATGCCCATCTCATCAACCCTCTTGACATTTTCGCTAATTCTCATCGTTTTATGCATGAAATCTCTTGGGAATATATAGAGACACTGAGTTATATGCGACGAACTAATACCACAACTCTTCAAAAGTTCAATATTGGGTATCATAGTTTTCGCCAAATCATACCTTAGAAGCCACCCATTTTTCTTTAAAACCCTAGACACATCATCCATATTCGAACCGAGAACACTCTTCAATGTTAAAATCGATGGACCAAGCTGATTATCAACGCTACGAGTTAGAATCCGTGGTTCAGACGAAACAATTTTCACAATATCGCTAGAAGAAAAACCCAAGTCTTGAAAAAATTTGAATTTGGGTTTGATGGAGCACTCAAGATTTGCAGAGAGAACTTGAGGCGCGCGTTTGATGATACGCTCGAGATGGGTATCAGAAAAACCACTTTCCTGGAGAAATGAAAGAATCGAATCGGTCTCTTCAGGCCTTTTCAGATACTTTACTACGGAAGAGACTTTCGAAGCAGTTTCAGGAGAAAATTTGTGTCTGTCAATCAAGTAATCGGCCACCGCAATGGGGGTTTCTGGAGAGGAAGAGATGAAGAGGAGAGAGAGAAGAGAGATTGGGGTTTTGTTGAGATGTGAGGAGTTCTTGAGAGAGAGTGAGAAGAGACTTTTGCAGATATAAATAGTCCTCATTTCTTGAAGATACATACACATATAATATGCAATCAATCAAAGCGAAGAGTGTAGAGATGAGCACTTGCCTGTAAAGTGGGGAGCTTCATAGATTTGCAGTGCTTCGATTTTCCCTTTCTATCATTCTGGATCTCTCTCTGGTTTTCTGACAGTGTTTTGAATGGTGAACAGTGTGCCCTAAACCTAGTTCGAGCTCTTCAAAGTGTTGGATTGAGTGAAAGTCCTAGCTCAAAAATTAGGCGGGCTTGTGAACAACCTCTCAACGGCCCTAAAACTAGTTCGAGGAGGTCTGCATCATTTTTGGATTAGATTGGATCACAGGTTTAAAACTTAAAAGGAAGAGACATATATTGTTATCAAAAAATAAAAAATAACCGTATGGTCCAACTTATTTTTATTTCTAAACTTTACTTGGTAGTCTTCTTCAATGAGAAAATTGTTGCATATATATTTAGGTAGGGGTGGCCATGGATCATATCCTCTAAGGTATAAATTATAATTTGATTCGTTCCTAACAGATTAAACAAATCTTAATTCGTCACTGATCCGTGATCACACGGATCGGATTGGATTGAATTCACGAATTAAATTTTATCTAAATTATTCATTATTATTTTTATAAATAATATTATTTATTTATCTTTTAACCATAACCCAATAATATTATTTTAAGTTATTAATATTAAATTCATATTTTAAATAGTTATTAACTAATAGTTCTTTAGAGTCTTTTAAATTATCATTAACTAATTAAATTAACTAATATATTTTTGAATATATATATATATATATATATATATATATATATATATTTCCCGATAGGATCGAACTCACAAATCGGATTGAATTTTTAACAGCCCAATTCGTGATTCGATCCATGAGTTACAGATTCGATTTTTTTGAATTCGCTATCGATTCGTGGATATAACAATCTGATCTGATCCATGCAAAAAATCTCGAACACCTCTGACCTCCCTTTGAGAAGTACAAAAATTTTGTTGTGATTTGAAAAGTAAAATATTGAATATTTATTTAACTTTTTTTATTTTTTTTCTTAATTGATACTCTCACATACTTATCCCTCCATAAGAGACTCGGATCTCTGAACTCCATTTGAAAAGTAAGAGTCGGGCACTGTTGCCTGTCCATTTGCTGTTTGATACTTTTATTTTAACTCCTCTGTTGCAATCTTCTTCCCACTCTCAAATAAATATCTCACCCGCGCCAATCACGAGGGAATGCTAGAGGTTTGGTAATTTCTCCTCCGATCGTGATAAAGGACTATATTGAAGCAGCTAATCCCATATTGTACATACATATACACGGGTTCTAACGCCTGCAGTGACTACGTTTCTCTATTGTAACTTGGAACTAAGTCATTATTAATTTTTTTTATTCCCGAAAACTATCACCACACCTGTTTTACCATTACAATTTAATTTGTGTAATATATGGACATACATAGGCCATGGTTAAAAACCGGAAATCAACTATGCATCCACATGTGAAGTTAAAATTATATACAGAACCGTGTAACAACCAGTCTCGTTCATTAAACTAATTCTTTATATATAAGTATATATGGTTGAGCTGTGCAAGAGCATTAGGGCAAAAAATGACTTGGGCACAAAGCCAACTTTTAACTTTATGCATGTTTATGTCAATGCTTGATTCATGCTATGAATATTAAAAAGACCAATTTAATTTCATGTGACCCCACTTCATGTTTTTAATTTCAACCAAGTATTCAATCTTTTATTTCTAAGCCGCCATGAAATGAAACAGTCAAGGACATGCAGTGACAAAAACTTGCTTGCTCTCCAAGCCTATACTTGAGTATAAATAGCTTCATCACAATATTCAATTGTCAAAAGACAATCCATTTCTCACACACAATTTCACCATTCCGGCTTTATTTTTCCGGCCATGTCGTTCGCCGGAGTTGATCTTGCTGAAGTTTACGTGATGCAAAAAATCCACAAGGAGAAAATGAAGAGAACATCAAAGAAGAAGGCCAAAAGGGAGGTAATTGCAGACCATGAAAGTCGTGAAAATCCACAAGGTTGCTTCTTTTATATGATAAATTATATCTTCAAGAAGATACATCCGGCCTACGTGCCATCATCCTCAAGATGTGACAGAGGAGAAGCTGTGACCATTTATAAGGTTTAGATCATGAAATCATATAGTTTTGCAGCTTCATTAAATCAGTAGTACTGTTGGTTTGTTATGAACATCGCAAGCCCGACTATTAAGTATTTGACTGTTAAGTATTTCGTACTCTTAATCTGATAAGATGCATCTAGTTTTTAATGAAATTGTGTGTCAATTTCCTTGTCATTTGCATGCAAGTTTGTGTTTGGATTCACTTTCGTGTGGAGAATATAGGAAAGTTGTTGGACTTGATCCCATTAATTTCCGAGAACAAAAAATATATACATATATTGAAAATTTTGGCAAGTTCAGTATGGCTGTATTCGGCTGCATGAAATTGGAGCCTTATAATTGAAATTTGTGTAATTGAAGAAAATTTTGATTTAATTTTCTTAATTATTTTTCTCAAATTCAAATTCCAAAACTTCAATTTCATGTAGCCTTACACACCCTACGATTAAAGGAAATTTAATTGAAAGATTGAAGCAGTTGATTACAACCTTACCTTATCTATCAATACCAATAATGTTATTTTATCGATCAAAATCAATAATGCTATATTTGGGAGATGAATCGACGGTTCGATTTAGAATTAGAGAAAAATTTCAAATTCAAATACACTATTTGTGGCACACATTTAAAATTTAAAGCAAAAAAAAAAAATAAAAAATAAAACATATTTTAAGGGGGAAAAAAAAGGTTTTTTAATTTATTTTTAGCCCAAATAAATTTTATTTTGGACAAACAGTGCCTAAACAATATATTTTTTATTTAATGAATTTTATTTTTATTTTTTTTAAAAAAATGAGCTCAAAATAACCTATTTTTGGATTTTTCCAAAAAAGGCACTGTTCAGCACTATTCCTAACCATTTAGAAAAAAAATTCACCAAAACGTTGCCGTTTTGATAGAGAGAAAAAAAAAAAAAAAAAAAAAAAATACAATGATTGGGCTTGGGCTCGCGGTATTCCGCTAGGTGGCCCGCAAGCTGCTGTTAGCCCCGCCCAGTTCCGCGAGCCTGATGGAGTGACTTTGGGCCTCAAAATCGCCAAAATTAGGCTTTAGCTAGGTGCAAGGGCGGATCGAGGAATTTGGTTCAAAGGGGGCATGTTAGCACTGATAAAATATTTTTTTTTCAAGGAGGCCGAAAATATAATAGTGCAACAACAATGTATTATAATAAGTGAATAAAAAATGAATAAAAAGAGAAAAAAGAAAAAGAAGGTTATTGTACATAAATTATGCATTAGTGCACGAAAAAGAAATTTTTAAGAAGAAAAAAGAATTTTTTAAGAAGGAAATGAAATAAAAAGAAAAAAAAATATGAGAGAATTTTGAAGGAAAAGATATGTTTTAATTGTAGAAAGAGAATGTAAAAGTTTTGAATATGACAAATAGAAATTTGTAGAATAAGAAGGAAAACGAATATAGAATTAAAGATATTTTTAGAAATAAATAATTTTATGGGGATAATTTATAAATTTTGTGAGGGTGTTTTATAAATATTTAGAAATTATAGGAATAAAATAAAATAAAATATAGTTGATTCAGGGGTAAAGGAGCTATTTTATTAATTTTAGGGGGGGGGGGGGCATTATGTCAATTTTTACAAATTTATATATATATATATATAAAATAAAATATAGTTGATTCAGGGGTAAAGGAGCTATTTTATTAATTTTAGGGGGGGGGGGGCATTATGTCAATTTTTACAAATTTATATATATATATAAAAATTTGTAAAAATTGACATAATGCCCCCCCCCCCCCCCCCCCCTAAAATTAATATATATATATATTCTAGTGGGGCAGCATGGGCAGGGGGCAGCTGCCCTCCCTGGGCACATGCTGCCTCCGCCCCTGGCTAGGGGCGGTGCTGATGCTCTTAGTAGTCCTAACCTAAAATAATATTGTCAAATTGTTATATTGTTTTTAATTCTAACCTAAAATAATAATATATTAGTTTTTTTTTTTTTTTTTCTTTTAAGTTTAAACAAATATACACCCACTATTACTGAAAATTTTTTAAGTTAAGGAAGGTGGCTAATTTTGCACTTTTAGAAACTCAAAGATTTAACAACTATACAAGATAAGAGGAAAGATAAAGAAAAGATGTGATTAAGTTCACTCCAAGTGAATATATTATATATTACTACTCTAATGTCAAGGTTGTGGTATTTTTGTTTGAACTTCTTTTTGTACTCCTTGTAGGGCAGTTATTGGTTACGGTGTTTGACGGGTTAAGCTTGTGCAAACTTGGTAAAAGGAAGATATTTTATGAATTTTTATTTAGAACATTGTAGATGATATGGAATATTCGATTAGATAAGAATTCTAAGTCACATGGAGACTCAAAGGACATAAACTTAAAGAGATAGAAATAACAACTATTACCCTCTCCAATAACTCTTAAACCCGTAATGGATAAGGAACGTAAATTTGTTTTATAATAGAATACTACTATCGTTAATACTTCTATGAAAGAAGTCATCAGTCAACTTAAAAAGGTACGCCATAAATTCTATATTTAATTCTTTATCGGATATTCAATCATCGAGTACTAACTTGACCGTCGGAGTGCTCCCGACTGGCACAACACCAGTCATCAGTTTTCTCGTCTTACAGGAATTGCAACCGGCTCTGGAGTGTGTAGATTTTTGCATCAATAGTTGGCGCCGTCAGTGGGAAATGTGTGTTAGTCCCAACAAATTACGACCAAGAAATTATTAATCTATAACGGTGTTTGTGCTCTTGGCCTTTGTCGTCGACACTGGCCAAGTCCAACATTTTGTTCATTATCGATCACAAAAAAAATAAAAAAAAATGCCATGGGTTTAGTGAGGAAT